CAAGTTCATTGTATTTGTATTTGCCTTTAAAATGTTAGGGCAGAGCAAGAGGGGGGTCATTTGGCTGGTGGAGATTAAAAGCTAAGCAAATCTTGTCTCATAGATTCCATTTTCTTTTCAAAATTAGTGGTGAGGTTATATGCTGAGTTAGAGGCGAAGCAGGACATGGGAAGATGGACTCCCCAGAACCTACAGACGGAGAAGCGTCGAAGCCATATTCTCAGCTGCCAGAAGAGCACCTTGGCCAGGAATGTACTGAAGACTTGCCCAAATGCAGTTGGCACTTATTGATCTAAAATGCAACCAACCATCCTGTTCTCTGTGCTTGCTTTTGTTTGTCTGTTTCCCAGGTCCCCTGGTAGAGGGCTATAGAAAGCCAAGAGTTGGATTGGATTTTATCATCAAAACTCAAAAAATATATCAGTATGTTTTTGTTTGTTTTGTTTAATTTTGTCCCAACAGATTTATTGGCATATAATTCCCTTGTCTTGCAATTCAATAGTTCAAGCTGCCTATATACTTTTTACCTACTCATTCATGCTTTACAAATATCTGTGTATTTCTGTGGCCAGTCACGCTCAGGTAACGTAAGGGAACAAGAGTTAGCAGATGCGATGGGCAGGAAGGGAAATGGCTGATGCTTCTGGAACATCAGTTATACTCACACACTTGGCCTCGTTGACTGTAGAATAGGTAGTAGCTATTTCCTGGTTCCCTGTCGTTTCAAAACTCAATAAAGCCACTACTATTCTCTTTTCAAGGGGCCCTGGGCTGATAAGGAAAATGTTAGCAGTTGAAACCAACCAGCCGCTGCATAGGAGAAAAGACCTGGCAACATGTTCCCATCAAGATTACAGCTCTAAGGGGAAAAAAAAGAGGAGGGGGGGTGGGGTTGGCGGCAAAAAGATAAAAAAGATTCCAGCTTTAGAAAGCCTGTAGGGAAGTGATACTCTGTCTCCAAGGCCAATCTGAGTTAGAATCAACACGATAATCCATAAGCAACAAAAAGAAATAATCTCTTTCTGAAAACAGGAGACTGATGGAAACGCTTACCTGTCTGAGATCGTAGACTGTCAGCGCTATGGAAATGACGGACATGATTATAATGGCGAGAGCATATTCCTTGTAGTCTTCACTGAACCACAGGCAGACACTGAAGAGTTGAAAGACGTAAAATGAATTTAGAACCTGTTGGCAGACATAAGACAGAAAACTAGTCAGGCTTCGCATTTCGTTATCATCGACATGTTTGCCTTCACAACCAGGCCTGGGACATTAATCTTCCTACACAATCATCTTGTTTCTCGTTATTCAGTTTGCCCAGCAATCCCCTGTGTTTCTGACACTGAATCAGCAACTTTACTTGAATGTGTTCATTTAATCGCCATAATTACCTTATTAACAAAAAATAACTATGTCCATTTTAAAAATGAAGAAAAATGAGCCTTAGATCTTAAGTAACTTGCCCACGGTCACACAGCTGAGACCCTAAAAAAAGTAAACCTTTTACCTACACAGTCTAACCCCACAACACTTGCTTTGAATAATTACTAAATTTGTTAGTTTACAAAACAGTGTTGCATGTACCATCAATACTGACCACCACAACAGCTTTATAAGGAGTAGCTATTAATTAATATAACCTCCTTTGTATACTTATGGTCCTTCCCAGGATGAAGGCAAGGCTTACAACAGTAAAATGCCTTCTAGTCTGTCGGTCTTTCCTATGACAGAGTAGTTGCCGTACTGGAAGCCATGAAAGTACCCTAGATGAATGAATTAGGTAAAGACAACATTCGCTCAGAAAAAGTGAGCTGAAGTAGAGATGTCCTGCTGTAATTGTCCACCGACCACAATGTGGGCCAGTTGTTATTGTTAGATGTCATCGAGTTGTCGCGGACGCATACCAAGCCTCCACGGTCGTCCTATTGTGTCACTACGAGTCAAAATCTACTCGGTTGCAGTGACTTCCATTGCCAGTGCCCAGTTCTGTAACATCTTCACAATGGATGCTATATGTGAGTCCAATCTTGCAACCACCGTCTCAATCCATCTGATTGAAGGGCTCCCATTTTTTCACGATTTACGTGACCAAGCATGATGTCTTTTCCCGTGGACGGGTCTCTTCTGCTAACATGTGCAAAATATGTACAACCCAGTCTCCTCATCCTTGCTCCTAAGAAACATTCTGGTTATACTTTTTCCAAAACATATTTCATGTACAGATTCCACATGGGTACAATGAAATGTTCTGGAGTTTCCATCCTTCTCAATGTCTCTATAAATTGGTATGATCCACACAACAGAATGTCTTTGCAAAGCCAGTAAAGCACAAGTAAACGTCTTTCGAGTGAGCTCTGCCTTCAGCCA